CGAGGAAGGAGGTGAATGTTGGGGAGAGGCGTCTAGACGACTCGGTCAGTTTTCGATTAGAAAGAAGGAGAGAACGGGGGGACCTACTTGTAGGCCAAGTCTGTCGCTGCGAAGACGGTGTCGCCGCCTACTTCGGGCCCTTCGAGGAGGCCCAGCATGACGTAGCCCGGCGGCTGGATCTCATAGCTCACGTCCTGATGCCAGAGGGTGGTGGTGGTACGCTGCTCGAGGAAGCGCGCGATTTCCTGACGGTTGCCGTCGCGGTGGATGATATGGAATCCGGGGTGATTGCGCACCGTCCCGGACACGGGCTGGTAGTTTGGTTTCCCAAAATGGCGCATGAACTGCTCCAGCTTGTCTGGGCCGGCGTCGATGAGATCCTGCGCAGGGAAGGCGACGACCTTGCGCTCCGAGACTAGCAGGGCCAGCTCGTCCTTGGCGGCGTCGGAGAGCTGGCTCAGCTGCACGCCTTCCACGACACTCCCGATCTGGGGCTGGATGTGCGTGACTTTGACACCGGGGGTGAGCAGGTTGCGCTTGCTCTTGTCTTTCACGCGCAGGGCAGGATCCTCGTATTTGAAGGGCGGCAGAGGATCAAACCAGATCTTGTCCCATGTGGGGAGGTACTCTGGGTATCTGGTACGTGAGGTGGATTCCTTGGTAACATCGACATAGGGGATGTTGATGTCGTAGCTGATGGGGATCTCTTCCTCGTGAGGATTGACAGCTTGTGGTTTGCTGGGTGGTGTGACGGGGGCTGAAGCAGGCATGATTGAACGGAGAATGGGATGATGGACAGGAAATTTTAGATAGGACAATGCTGAAAATGGCCCCGTCAAGCGAAACTTTTATTCATGAAGATGAAACAGAAGCCAAGATGAAATGGTCACGCAGGAAGAATCTTGTTCTTTCAGCTGGTGAAGAAGACCTTGTGAGGCTTCTTGAGTATATACTCAAAGGCGAGGTCTGATGCTGCAGAGGAAAAAGAAAAGAAAAGTCTAGATGTCGAGGCGAGGACGGCAATGGAATAAATAGAGAACTCTGCCGATGATAGATAAAACAAAAACATAAAATATCAAGAAAGATAAAAATATAAAACAGAAATGATAATCTTAATCAAGTACCAAGTATCATACGGAGTCAGTAATAGCGTCCGCCTCCACCAAGTCGTCATCTGGCGATAAAGACACAGTAAGTACGAACGCACATACCGACATACTTGCATACATAAAGCAAGCCGAGCAAGATATCAAAGGTAAATCGAAATAATCTAATTCCAATGTTTTAGCCAAGTGGATGACATCGTCGCCATGGCGCCAATGATCTCGTTGCAATGGTGTGCGTCGCAAAAAGGGCCGTGACTAGACTAGATAGACTAGGAAACTCATTATTTCCCTTTCATCTCCGGGCCGGGGACTTGTAACCAGATTAATTGAATTCAAAAGAAATCAGATAATAATTCAATTAGGTTGCATGTTCATGCAGTTACTCTCAGTCTTTTGTCCTGAGTCTTGAGATGCAGGATAATCGCCATAAAGGGGGAGAGTTAGTCTATAGAGGGGCAGCGACAAGCCCAAAGAACTTCATACTTCAAGAGTTCCAAATTCAAAGTTCAGACCAGAAAAGCGAAGAAAGAAGAAAGAAAAAAGAAAAAAGCGGTCAAGGGCCCAGGAAAGGGTCCATCTGGCTCCAAGTCTATCCTTACTGACATCCTCATTCTCATTACTGGGGGCCCGTTGGAGAGTCCTCCCATAGCTTTGCACCACCTCGAGCAGATGTGACTGCTTGTAATGATGATTGGTTCTTTGTTTCTGTATTATATTGTTAGAATCATGTTCCGACAAGGATATTATAATACTAATCAATATTATCCTTGTCAAATATTATACTCTGTAATGAAGGAAACTAGCTCCTCGGCCCTAACCCAAGCCCCCAGGAGCTAGCCTAGGTATCGTGGAATACTAACGGGTATGTTCGACGGTAGATTCCCACCTAACCATCTACAGTAACCATGCCCTGCTCCCGTCAAGTTCCGGGAAATTGGCTCTGTCTCAATTTGTCCTCTGTCCTCTGTACTCTGTAGATAGCTGTACTACTCAATGGGGTAGTCTATTCGCTTCTGATGCCGTTTCACCGCTTAATCTGCTCATAATGCAGAAATCCCATCAGTGATAACGCAGTCGATAGAAACCGGGTGGACCCTGTCGCAGCATACGAAGTACGGAGGACAAAACCAGCCAAGGAACGGAGCCGTTGACTCTAGTCGTAGTAGCAGCAGCTGCAGCTCGGTAGCAGAGCTCTGCTATCTTGCATACTCCTTGCATCACTTGCTAGAACCTAGGCTAGGGCCCGATACGGATACAGATGACCGAGAATTTAGCACAGTTCTCAGTACTGCGGGAGTAGTGAGTAACCCCGGCTATTGCTCGTACCACTACCGTGATTTAGTTCGCAGACTAGAACTTGTCTACGGCAATTTGACTGTGCATCGTGAGTGGTGGGTTTTTATTACTGCTGCTGATAAGGCAAGATGCTCTCGATGTGATGCAGCCGACTTGGCTTACATTATTGCGGAGTGTCTATCACTCTTTCATTGAGTGATGAGAACCCCTGGATAAACTCGTCTTGATCGCTAAATTTCGGCTGAACTATGCGCATTAGCTGATTTGGTTGATTGATTTTCTTTGCTCTGGCCTAGTATTGGGCCGAATCGCCGTCGCCTAAGCCTAACCTGACTGCCTAAGGCATGCATGTTCCTTGGGCCTTGTCGTCGCTCTCAAAGCCTGAGTCTCAGACTAGAAACGGAGGGGACCAGGATTGGGAAGCTATTCCATCTTCCCCGACCACCAGCTCCATTCTGAGATTCAAGACCATGTGGACCAGAACTTGGAACTGGATGGAACACTCGCTTTCGGGATTCCCCAGCGTCCCACTCTCAGTTTGAACGGGCGGCGTAACGGAACTTTTTCTGCTTGGTAACATAACAGATGGACTGATGCATCGCATCATGACAGCGTAGAATATTCCCATTTTCCAACCCGCCTATGAATCAGTCCCACCTACGCTTGTTCTAAGCCAAGACTTACCCTTCTGTTTCTTTTCGGGAACGTAACTCAACGCCCGTGGTTTATCATAGTTCCCCACATGGCATCGTGGCATTTGGCCGTCGAACTTTGGACACGACGCCTTACGAGTCTAAGGTGGATTTCCGTCCTCAAGAGATAGACAGCAGAGATACGAGCGATGATAATGTACGTCCCTGTAGCTGTAGCCTGTAGCAGAAGCATGAAGTCTCATGCAATCTGCAGTCCGCATCAGAATATCCGCACCCGGTTGCAAACGAGACCGGCAAGATAATTCACTCATTTGTACTCTGTACTTCTGCCGGATTGCCTGAATTCATTCTGTTTCTGTTGGTACTGATAGCCCCGTACTTACGCCAGTGATGTAAGACCTACTGGATGAGATCGAATAGATCGAGTCTCAGGTCCCAAGGATCGCACATGGCGTGACGAGTCGACGACAACGCCGTTCAGCTTTTGAACTTCTTAACCTCTAACCCCTGATAGTACTTCGTAGTCGGTTTGCTCTTACGAAACGATATCCGGATATGGTCAATGAATGGCAATCGTGACGCCAGCCGGGCCGGTGTGGCCCAATTTCCACTGGAAGGATTCGTTTGTTTTTATAAATTATTACCATGTCGCGTGTCTTCGTATATTGCACTCTCTATCTAATTTTGGGCAAAAAAGGAGTGTGGATTGTCGAATCCCGACGCCCAAAGTTTCGCCCCAAACATCCGGGGGGCTCGCCGTCTCACGTTTCAACTTCAAGGTCCCCTGGAGACCGACTAGCTGGCTTTTGTGTGCGATAGATTAAAGCCGGAAGGGCGTGGGCTGACGCTAACGGTGTGCTAACCTAACCTGCAATGTTTGTCACTTTGGTCTGCGTAGATAGCCAATGCACGATGAATATTTCGACCAGGATCGGCCGGTCTAAATCGTAAATTATGGAACATTGACTAAATTAGGAGCTAGTAAGTAATAACGTCGAGGAAATTGCCTCGATCATATGCTTGATCCTTCAATGCATACAAACCGACAGTGACAGGACAGGAGACTGTAAACAGTAAAATGTATCCTTCGCATAATGGGCTGAAGAGAGCGAATCATCGTAATTGAAGATGACGAGGTCTGCTGGACGAGCGTGAACATCTGTCGTCCATCGTCAGTCTCGCTCCGCCAAAAGGAGACGACGCGACGACTTGGAAGTTGACTCTTTGTCCGTCGATGACAAATGCTCAGTCTCAGAATTGCGGTGAGAGCCGTCTGTGACTCCCTCTGCTCGGTCAAACGGCCAGGGTCAAAGGATCATCAAGACAAGTGCTGATCGCAGCAGATCGCTGTTTGGAGTTTGGGCTACGAAGTCCTCCGGAATTGACGTCTGTATTTCTTAAGGCAGAAAAGAACGACAGACGTTGATATAGAGACAGAAAACAGAAAAAGCAAAAACAGCGATCTCTTCTCGAACCATGGACGGAGCATGTCCGGATACTAAGTACTACTGGGACGGAGCAGGTGGGCTAAATCTAAGGTACCCGACTGTGTAGTGTGTATCCGTACCATAGTAGGACACGATCCGCGGTAGCTAAGCTTAACTTCTGCTTAGTGTTTACTTTGGAGTCTGAGAGCGTGCAGTCGAAAAAGCAATTATCTCCCTAGCTACTCCGTACTATCCTCGGAACACTCCCTCTCAATACGAACCTCTCTGGAATATTCCAACCCAGCCCTTCGGGACTCACTTCGGGACTCACGAACGGCGGGTTGGTACATAGCTTGCTTTTGCGGAGGAGGTCACATGACCGCGCGTGGTTCCGGTGTCTGGATCATATTCTCGACGCTGCGTAGTCGCGACTTACTGTAGAGCTCCAACATATCATCTGTCGCTCAACTGCTTCAGGATATCCATTTCGCAGTGAATCTCGATAGAATAGAATCACCATGCCATCCCCACCCCCCTCCGCCTCCATTTGGAGCCGGAAACGCGACCTCCTCTATCTCATCTTCTTCATCATCCACATCCCCACCATCTTCAGTAAGTGAAGCCACACTCAAATACATATAAATCCAGCTAATTGCAGGCGCAGTGGTCGACGCCGTTCCCCTCCTCCCGACAGCTCTCCAAACAAACCTCGCGCACCAAATCCGCGCCTTCTACATCGCCTCCTACCAAGACAAGTTCTTCGCCCAGCCCCCTCCCCCCTGGTTCACCGCGTTCATCGCCATGGAGGTCTTCTACCACGCCCCGCTGAGCATCTGGGCCATCCCCGCTTTGATACGCGATAACCCCATGGTTCCCGTCCATCTGCTTGCGTTTGGCGTGCAGGCCTTTGTGACGAGTCTGGCCTGTCTGGTGGAGGTGTGGAGCTGGGCGGATCGCACGGTCGCGCAGAAGAGGAGTATTACAATGCTTTATGGGCCTTATGTTGCTTTAGGTATAGTATTCTATTCTACTCTGTGTATGATTTTCTGATTGCGGGACTGACGTGTGTCTATCTAGGGGCGTTCATGGCGCTGGATATGGTCTTTAGGCTGAGGGGGAGGCTGTTGGGGAAGAAGAAGCTGGCGTAGGCTTTTTGTGGATGGTGTGCTGCATAGCGGGTTGTTTAATGAAACTGTTACCATTTGATACCCTATGAAATTGGTTGGAATGTTTGCTGCTGTTGTTTGTGAGCTCGCTAGAAATATAATACATTGCTTACATGGCTGGTGTTTCGATTTTCGAGCTTAATAATCGAGAATGTGTCGAATATTCTACAATATGCGTTCGCGGCATAGATGTGTATTTCACTGCAGCAACGTTTCATGACCTCTATCTTACAAAACTGCCACAACATAACTTGGACATCTGTGGTATCGTCGCTCGGTTGTCGAAAGTCTAGAACACTACCAAGGTATGTGTCACACGCAAGCAAGGGCATAGACCTCTCCTCAAAAGCAGGTGCAGAGGTCTAGACGGACCAAAGTCGGTTGCGATTTTTCGAGATAACGGTCTAGGAGTCGGATGATCCCGGTATAGATGCATAGTATGTCGTGTTCCAAAGTGGCCTGCGGGTGATATCACATGTCAAATCAAAAATCCAATCGCTCCATCAAGGTCCCCATTGGCTGCATCCAATGCCCGAACGGCCTCCTCCCGAGTGAATCCGAGCTCAGTGATTTTCGCAATCGAGTCCTGCGGCCAACGGGACGACGGCGCCGGGCGGATGTTGATCCTAGGTGTCGATGATGACGGAGCAGCCGCTGACGTGCCAGGCCCGCTGGCCTGGTGTGTGACCGCACCGGTTCGAGCGCCGACTTCAGCGCCGTCGGCACCCTTGACGATAGGTTCGTCCTCAAAGCCTTCCTGCAGCTCCTTGGGGATATCGGCCTCACCGAGGAAAGGCACGGCTTCATCTTGGATGACCAGGGCACCCTTCTTCAGGTCAATGCACGCCTGATGTCGCTTCAACATATCCAACCCAAGGAGTAGATCGATGTGTTTCCCTTCCATCACGGTGAAGGAGCAGGGCAAAAACATGCTTCCAATCTTGATCTGCGCGGAGTGCACCCGACCCAGAATGGTTGCCGTTCCCACACCCTTTGCAATCCCCCCATACCGCCGGTCCACCAGTCGCATTATGTTGCATGCGGTCGCACACTCGGGAGACATGATGGTGACTTGCGCTCCGGAATCGACAAACGCATTGACCTTGTGGCCGTTGACCTCAACAGGAATGTACAGCATTGTCACGCGGCCAAATGCTGTGCTCTCGTTAGTCTTTGATAGCTAGCCTCAGATCCGCTCCTACTTACATTCGGGATGATGCTCCATGGCAGTGTGAAGATTTTCGGTCACTGCATTCTGTCGAATGATCTCCTCAATCTCCCTCTGATTCTCCGGATTGAAAGGATCGGCATTCAACATGGCGATGCGCGCCTCCTTTTCTGCTTCCATTTGTGCCTCCCGGCGTTGTTGTGCCATTAGGACATCGCGGAACCGCTGCGCGTCGTTGGCAGCATCTGCCAGCTCGGGGTTCTGCCGTCGGACAGCCTCTCGCACGCGAGGGTCACCTAGGATATGCAGTCGGATTGTCTCGGGGTCGGGAGTCATAGCTTGCCGCCGCTGAAGGTTCTGCTGAGCCGCTGCACTAGGGCCGCCTCCTACACTGCGAGCAGGCACCTGAGGGCTCCGCATTGCAACGTGAACGCCTAGCATGTCCCCTTCCCCAATACCGATCTGCTCCAAAGTCTGTGCATCATTTCCAAGTAGTTGGTTGTTATATACGAGGCGCTGAGTATTTGTGGGTATGGATGTTTCGCTCTCAACGATAGCCTTTAGAAGCTCGACCGTCATATCCCCGCCGACTTCGAGGGAGATGATGTCAGAGTCGGCCTGGTCCGGTCGAATAACGCTGACAGTGATGCGCCTGAGCGTAGAAGAGAATCTGTTAGCAACAGACGAGGCAAGGCCCACTGGGGTCCAGGTTCAGCCCGACTGACTCACATTGTGTTGGAAGGCGTGCGGTGCGGGGAAAGCTTCTTAGCTTGATCGCGAGCCCAGTCAGATAATGATACGTCTTAGTTCTTCAGGTTGCTTCTGTGATGAGGCGTAATGTACAAAGCGAGAATGTCAGGTAGTGTAACGGAGGAAAGTAATCGAGAAAAAGTTCTAGGCAAGGTGGTCATACAGGGACAAACGGAGGATGATGAGAGGGGCGTCACAAAGAAGATGGAGGGTAAGAGAGGGGAAGAGTTGAAGAGATGAAGGAAGAAGAAAGGCAGGAGGACAGGGCGGTTATACGAGGTGACTAAGGTAGCTCTCAAGGAGGAAAGAAATGGGATGGTGATTTGATGAGCGATATGAGGGTGGTGGGAGAGGAACAAAAGCGTTGCGCTTCTGGTGATGTGCAGCTGATGGCGGAGGTCGATTTCCGGCAGCCCGCCCGATTAGGTATTATCATATTATCTATCTGGCCCTCTTGACAGGCAGCCAACGTGTGTCATCATCGTCTCTTCCCTCCTCTCTTCCTTTTTCTTTCTACTTCTACCCAACTCGCCCAGATTCCATTTGGATTATTCATCCCTCTTCAGTCGGGATGTTGATATATAATCACGTCCGTTATTATAACCTACTATGCACTACCTGCAAGGCTGCGGTTGGCACCATCCCTGCGATGCCGACTAGGGCCTCATCGACGGCCATTGAGCTCTGAATCAGGGATAGACTACCCTGTATCTACACGCAACCATATAGCAAGCTCTTTTTTTTTTTTTTTTTAATCAACCGCAATGAGATGATTGCGGCGGATATTTGTGCCGTGCGCCTCTGATGCGACCGCAGCCTAAAACCCCTCTCGACATCTGCCTTTCTAGAGGTTGCAGCGTACATGATTTTACCCTGGCCTGATGCCACGAGGACAACAGTTTCTGACATCATCAGCCGCTCGCCAGGGACGTCTCGCGATTTTGGTGATTTCATCTAAAGTCACGGTAGTCGAGCGATGACTGAGCACCAGAATATCAGGAACCGCTGCAACTGGTCTGTGTCATCAGCGATCAAATGTCAACAGAACAATTATAAAGGCGTCTGTTATCTACCTTAGGCGTTGACCTCGGAGCAATCGCCGATATTATTGATCGTCCTTGGCGTACATTGGAATGTCAAATCTGTCACTCCCTGTCAAATTAGCTCCGTTGCATCGTCTGACCCCACCTGAGAGCCACAGGGGATACTTCGTGACCTACGGAAACGTGTCCTCCGACGTGCGGGGAGCAGTTTTCCAGATAGTACTTTTGGAAGCAAGATCGTGTACTTTGCGAGGCTAGCAGGATACCGCTGCAGCTAGATCCTAGGGTGTTTGACACTGAGACGATTGATTTGGTTCCACTCAGAGGCTGAGAAGATTGGTGGGTTGCGGAATCCCAGATCATAATTGCCTTCAATATGAGCCGGGCCAATAATGTACACGCTCACAGCTCGTACGGCGATAGTAGGGGCTTTTGGATAGTTGTGCGTTGAGCAGAAGTACTGGCGACTTTTCTATCAGCCTGACTCTATAGGAATGATGGTACTAGGCAGTATAGAATTACTTCAGGTTGTTACATGCTATTGGTGAAACGGAACGAGCGAAGTGGTACATACATGGCATTTTCATGACGGCGCGCTCAAAAGTCGTGAGAGACAGCCCTGTCAAACTTCTACTTCACCATGTGCTACTCCAGACGCATGGCTGATGACACATCAGGCACTCCTTCACCTTCGACCAGTTTTGCACCTACAATTTGATCGACCGGAATTTCTGCCAGCCGCGAAATGATATGCTGCAGGGTTGGCAGCGACTCCCAGCCCAGCGCATCAATCGCGAAGGAAGCTTTGGTCGTTTTGCGCACTCGTATCACCTTGGACGGTACCACCTTGGATTCTGCTGCATGCGGTACGAAGACTGGATACTCAGCCTCCGCCTGTCCTTTGCGATCGCGACCGACCTTGGGAATATAACGGTACACGAGGATACCATCGCTGGGTTCCCCACCGATAACACCGGGGTCATTTTCTGGGTCCACATCCTCGAGGCTTTCCAGGTGGAAGTGTCCCCAGACGGCACCTTGCCAACTGGTCTGAAGATGATAGGAATCTTGCCGCTCGTGTGCATTGATGGCCGTGTAGAGCTTGGGCATGCCGAGTTCCTCTCTGCCACTGACGATAGGATCGGCCAGGTCCTCAAACAGGATAGGCATGTATGTGCCCTTGACGACCTCGCCATCGGCTTTCGTGTACTGCACGCCTTCAATGTATAGTCCCAGATGGCGGTATCCACCACCGCCCAGCCAGTCCATTCCGTTCAGCGTTGTTTGTGAGAAGCTTGCATAGGCTACAGTCCCAGGACTACTGAAGCTGTATGACTCGTTCGGCAGCAGGTTTTGGAGCAATGTGCGGCTGGTTCTGAAGCGGAATGATGCTGTCTTGAAGGTTGATCTCAAAGACTTCGCCGCACGATCTTGGCCATAAAAGTCCTGCCTTGGGCCCGGCATTGGTCCGAAGACGATGGGCTGGCGCCAGTACATCCGCGGGGTCTTGGCCCAAAGATACTTGCGCAGAATCTGTGTGGAATGATCGAACTCGTCATGGCCGTAGATGTAATTCATTATCGCTTGGGCTGAGATGAGTCAGCCATGGCTTTTCTTGAAGGTCCAAAATCGGACAGGGGCTTACATTCAGCTGGTGGCAGCGGACCATGCGCGGAATCCCGTGTCATTTTCTGAACGGTGGTTGCTCGCTCATGGCGGGCTTGGTTATAGAGCTTCAGACGCTCGGGAATCTCGTGCCGCTGAACACCATTCGACAGCATAACACCAAGTGATACGCCATCCTCAATAGCCATGGCCCCTCCAGACCCACGATAGGGCAAGAAAGGATGGGCCGCATCTCCAATGATCGCCATCGAACCTTCCACCCAGGTGGGAAGCGTGTCCATATCCAACAACGGCCAGATTCTCAGCGTTTCGGCCTCCGCCTTGCCCAGCAACTTGACCACCAGCGGGTCAAAGTTTTTGTACACCTCAATCAAAGCATCCTTGCCGGCCAACTG